GTGTGTGTGTGTGTGTGTGTGTGTGTTTCTGACAGGTAGAAGTAGAATTGTGAATCTGAAAAAGCGTAGATCGGTAGGCCCGATTGATGGGGGTCTTTGAACTGACGTCTCTGTCTCAATGTGTGTGTTCTACTTTTCTGGTGTGTTGGTTTGTTGTGTGTTTGTGTTTGGGTTAGTGAGTGTGTATGTTTGTGTGTATGTGTGTGTGTGTGCATGCCATTGCGTCAGTTAAGGTGTATACGCCTGCTTGTGCTCGAGTTTACCTGTCTGTATGTGGGTTTTTATAACATAATAATTTGTATGTCTGAGCTCGGCATGTGTAGATTCCATTGAAAGCTATCAAAGCAGCAAAGAAGTGAGCAAATGAACCAGCATCTCCATGCCGTGCTTTTGCAAGGTTGAACAAAACAGGACAATTTGTGCTAGCCTTCAGAGTTAGGACGATCGCAGTATCCTGTGGCAGGATGGAGATGTGTTCCAATATTTACTTTGGGAGGATTTATGGAACGAGCGACAACTATGAGTAGAATAGAGGGTTCGGGTTCGGGTTCGGGTTAGGGGTAGGGTTAGGGTTAGGGGTAGGGTTAGGGTTAGGGTTAGGGGTAGGGTTAGGGTTAGGAATAGGTTAGGTTTATGGGTTGGGGTTAAGTTTAATGTTAGGGTTTGGGTCAGGTGTCTTCTATATTGTGTTTGTTGGGGTGGTCTCTCGTTACGAAGTCCTTCCTTTACTTGATAGAATATACATCCAGCTACAATCGTGCAGGTGGGTGGTTGATGGGTGCTCTGATGTGGCCTACCCCTTCTTTTCATATCAAATATATTATTAAATGATCATCAATTCTTTTGTTCTTCTTTTTTATGTTATTCTCTAATAACATATTATCTAATTTTGGACACTCATTATAATAACAGGCTGTGTTGAAAGTGCCGTAAAACATTTTCTAAAATTACAAATAATAAGTATGCAGTACTTTTTCAGTTTTGGTGAAAGCTTCGGAAATTCATCTTAATATTGATTTCTTGAGATTCTTCTAAAAATTAACCACTGGGAAGAAAAGCAAAAACAAGAACATTTTTTCAAAAAGTGGCCCATTTAGAGGAGAAGAATGGTGTTGTTCTCGAGCTATTGATCCGAACGTAAAGTGACACGTGCCTCCAGATGAGACAACCAGGTAATTATGGAAACTCATTAGGCTTTTTCGGGACATTTCACCTGAACACCCTTGACACGGGATGAAAAAAGCTTGTCTCATTTCAAATCGAAACACATTCACCCCCACCACCAGAGTAAACACTCACCGTCATCCATTCCCCTCTTTCTTTCTGTCTATCTATCTCTCTATTTTTCTCTCTCTCTTTATCTATCTATCTATCTCACATTCGCTCTTCCCATCTCTCTCTCTCTCTCTCTCTCTCTCTCTC